CACCCCACCCCCCACCCGGCGGAGAAGCGGTGAGGAGGGTGGGGTGCTGGGCGCGAGAACGCGGGAGTGTGAACTGGAGTGTGAGCGCGTGCGCGCGTGTGCCTCGCGAGGCTGGGGACCGGCTGGAACCGCAGCTGGATCCTGCGACGAGCCAGAAATCGAGCTCCCGGAAAACGAGCGCCGCGGGGCTGCGGTGAACAGCCGGGGGCGCTCGCTTCCAGGCTGGGGCGGGGATACTACGGACAGCGACTTTCTTAGCGACCGAAGGAAATGCATTAACGCGGTAGGGGCGGTGGGAAAGCAGGAGTTGGGCACTCTCTTTCCCCAAAGTTGGGGGATGCATTCGATGCCTTTAAAATCTGCGCTGCAGATTTAGGAGGAAGACAGGGCTTAGGAGGAAGACTTAAGAGGACTGTGCCGGAGAGTTGATTTTCACGTCCTGGTCGGAAGGAGACGGACTGGGGATAGGGAGCAGCCTTCAGGGCTCTTGGCTTTCACTCCCGCCGCAAGGTCCTGGGGGGATGGGGGTGGAGGAGTCCGCTTTGGTGCGACAAAGGAGCCTACTTAAGGGCGGACACCAGCCTCTGCTCCTGTGTACTGCGAAGTTGCCGCAAAGGGACCAAAGGGGCCGGGCCTACCCCACCTAACCCCCGCCCTGCGACAACCTAGGGGAGTTTCCGCCAGAAGCTGGGCAAAGGCACCCGGAACCAGATGCGCGATACCGTGCCCAAGGGCTCTCTCTGCGTCTGAGGCCGCGGAAGTTAGCCCTGCCAGCAGAGTTCCTTGATATCATCCAGCTGAGGCTGCAGTGTGTCTTTGCTACCCTCCAAGGACCTTACTCTTGAAAAGGACTTGAGTAGCCACCCAACTTTCCTCGTTCTCTGAAGTTGTCCTGGGAACCAAAAACAGAAGAGCCTTTCGGCAGAGGCACCAAAGAAGGGGTGTTTAAGAGGTTTAGGGTGGCTCATGGCTGATTCTGGACCTATTGTCCCTTAGCAACGACCCTTTTGTCATCTCTGGGGCTGGATGCGTGACCCCGTGCGCCCGCAGTGCCCTGCAACCGGAGGCTGCACCCAGCCGGGAGCCTCTCGCCGCCTCCCGGCTGTAGGAAAATGTGCAATGCGCTCTGCTTGGGCTGGATCCGCTGGCAGCAGAGGCGTCAGGCGCGCGGTGCAGGGACTGCCGGAGCAGACAACAGTTTTGCCCGGGTTGAGTGGCAGTGGTTTTTAATTGCAAGAGTCTCCCTTCCTGAATCAGAACACTGATCACCGAGATACCTCTTATTCATTAAACTACTTGTTCAAAATAGAAAGTGTGATTGGTGAGAAGCAGGAGGTAAATGGAATGGGAGGGAGAAAAAGATACCCTGCCCACAAACACGTTTTAACTTCAACTTCTTAAAGTTACTAAAACGTAGGATCAAACCATGGTTGAAGCAGCAGAAAGTTGAACTGCAGTCTTGATTCTCAAATGGAAACTTAACAAAATAGAGGCAAGTTTGGGATCCCGGTCTCCTGCCTTAGGCTTCATAATCTTAGGAATTCCTGCATGAAAATTAGAATTCCAGCTAATTAGGCAGTGTTATGGGTATCCTTAACTATGGTTGGATTTAACAAATAGATAGAAAAATTAAACTAAGTAGGGATACGGAATGTTCCTAATTAGAACAAAGAACAAGGGAATTTCAGAGAACATAGGGTATCAACTTTCAGGTCCTCTAGCAACCGTCCTATTTTTTAATGTATAAATTTGAAAACACCCTGTCATCATCAAGAAATTATATAACTAGATCCTAGTTATGCATGTTTCAGAAAGAACAGTTCCTGAATAGGAATCACTGTTCCTGAAAAGTTTAATTCTGATTAGTAGTATGGTAATAAGCAAGTCATTGGCAAAGGAACGGTGTTAAGATTGTGGAGTGGCAGCTATGCAAGCACATTTGAACCTTCTAAATTGGATCAAATTTTGCTTCCAGTGTTCCATGCCAAGTGCTAGTTAGTGGTGCTATATTAGCAGGTACAATAGCCTGGCTAGCACAGCCACATAAGTAATGCTCCCAAGTGCTGCTGCCCACAGAGGAGCCACCAGTGACAAGAATTAGCCCCCGAGGCTCATGTGGCAGGCCCAAGCACTCCTTTCTTGATTTCCTATTGTATTGTGTTCACATTTCCAGGATAACTTTTTCACAATCTACTGTGATTGGTTGTTTAGATTGGTCATCTCCCTTCTAAATTTATCATCTTTCCCAGGGCAGGAATTTCATTTTACTTTCCCCAGGACGCAGCAGAGTGCCTGGAAAATAAAATAATAACTATATGTTGACTGGATTAATTGTTTTTAAAGAGTATAAAATAACTACATTTTAAAATCTGTTTTAGACTGACTCATATGCCATCTATGTGAAACAAACTATATATAATTCTGCATGTATATTTATATATGAAATGGAAAGGAGAGGAGAGGAAAAACCAGTTTTTAGAAGGGTAACTGTCAGTGGCTGAGTAGGAGTTTGAATTGTCCATAGAAACATCATTTGCTGCTCTTATGCTATGAGAATTCTTGGCTGTTTGTTAATTGACATTTACATGTTTAAAAAGTGTGGTGTTGGAACTCAGACACACTGTTCAAAATGCATTACAAACTATTTCCTATTGCTTAGAATGAAGCATATTATTTAAGTTTGGTACATGCATTTCTGATATGTTAAGACATACTATTAGCTCAACTTGCTCTAATCAGTGTGAAGATAGCTCACACTGGTTGGGGCACTGCCAGTATGACCCAAAGGCTCCAGGCCAATGATTGTGTGACCACTGAAGACACATCTATGACCAGGCAGTTCAGGTACATGGTACATTCCAGGAAGTAGATGGAAAATTAGCTACACATACAGATCAGTTCATAGCTACCATAAAGCCAGAACATCATGTTTACAAAGAAGGAATAGCTTTTTGGGGAGAGGGATGGGGTGTTCAGAATAGGATGGGGGGACTATTTTAATATAGCAATGGCTTTTCATAATACACTCCCTAACTATTAAAGCATCTAAACTAAACCCTGTAGCAAATAAGTGTTGGCAGAACTACGGAGACTCATAATCCTGTCCTTCCAGAAGCTCTCCCCTGAGCAAAACAAGCTCCATGATACCCATTTTCTGCAATAAAAAAGGCAAAAATAAAAATGAACGTTATTTCACATAAGACTAATCAGCATATCAGCTAACACATATATCTTGTATATATTTATAGTACATATAAGTGCATTATATATGTGAGGGTGTATGTATATATACCACTTATAGATTATGGTCAAATGATTTGAATAAGTTTGTCCAATTATGCAGATACATTTTTAAAGAGACATTTTAAAAGAGCCTAGAATAGTACATAATAAAGAAAACATAAATAATTGTAAACACTTGTTTTCAGAACATACTAAATTTAGTATAAAACACTGGAATTTTTCTGTAACTCTTTTCAGGACTTAGATTTTCTCTTAATATTTTATGCCTTATGATTTATTAATAGTTTTGTATTTGAACTGCTTGTGTAGTACCCTCTAATTCTGGTAGAATTAACCCCAAAGACAATATCTAAGTGGCCAATTTCTTTTAAGACTTTAAAGTCCTAAACTAATAAATTCAAATTGCAAAAATTCCATAACCAAAATAAGTAGTTGGTATAATATATTTATAGATAGTATCCCAAAATTAGTACAGATTTGCAATAGTTTTGTGATGAATATTGAATTTGGCTGATGTTATTTTCGTTGTATTAAAATATTTTACTTATACATGTGTTCATAAACTTCACCATAGAATTTCAAAAAGGACTTAGACCATTCCCTAGATCTGCCTCCCCCACCCCCCCGCAATGAATTACAGCACACTCATCCTAAATGACAATAGGAATATTTTTGTCACGTTATAAAACCTATTGAGCAATAGTAAAGAGGTTGTTGTCCTTTCCAGTTCAGATATTGGAGAGGGTTTCCTCAAATGGTAGGTTTTAGGGATTTTTATAAGGGGTGAACCTATTGCTGGAGTCCATTTACTGTCTTCATTAGCTGAGTATAGACAGAGATCCCAAAAGTTAGTAACCTTGAAGCCCTAGCAAAGGTCAGGGCTGTGTACCACCCAGTTAATCTAGATACCACCCAGCTAATCTAGATAATGGTAGCTGAAGCAACCTCCCTACCTTTAATCATGTAAATTGCCTAAGGGTCATGTTATGACCTAATCTGTGTGTTATTGAAACCTCCTTATCCTAGGGCTACCCCAGACAAACCTCCTTAGCCTAGGGCTACCCCAGACCAAATAAAAGGTTGGAGCTGCGAGAGGAGAGCATCGGAGGAAGTCCTTCGGGACTTCCCCGTGTGGTCCCCCAATATTGCAAAATTATCTCGTGTCTTTTTCTCATTTGCTATGAGGCTCTTCTTTCAGATACCGAACCCTACTCCACACAGAACATGGGGGGAGTGTTACTCGACACCTATATGTAGATTTGCTTATATGCAAAAACAATGCTGCTAGTTACAGTTTTTATTTTTCCCATCACTGGTACAAAGTCAAGGAATGTCCTAGCCAAGATAATGTCTTTAGAAGGTCAAGTTTCTATCAGACTTGGTTTCTGGCCTCAAAGAATCTATAAACTGGTATCCTTCTTTCTTTTCCTGCTTTCCTTTGGGACCTAGGGTTTCAGACACCTAGGTCTGGATAAGGATAGTAGAACCAAATTTACAGGAACCAATTAGAATTTCTTAAAAGGCTTCAGGAAGTATTTTGAAGTGGGTTTAGTTTTAATACTTTAATTCTCCCTGAATTGTACAGTGCAACTTCAACCTAAGTCTAAAAGGATATTTGCTTTTATCACTCTGCCCTTCAGAAACACTTATTTCTTTAACCCCATTTTCTGCTTGGTTCCCTTCCACTTTTGCCCAAAGTAGCTGCTTTTCATTTGCATTGTCTAATTCAGACAGTTTAGAGCTTAGGCACCTCTGGGCAAAGTCCTCGTCTGCCTACGTGTTTATAAAGCATTATGTACACTCACTGCACTCCATAAATAATAACAGTAATCACCCTCTATACAAAATTAGAATGCTAGCATCTTCAACCTGTCTAATATGCTGATTTGCTTTAGTGCTTCATAATTATCTCATGAAACCAATGGTATAATGGGCACTACATTATACAACCTTCCAAAAATATGTTACTATATATTCTGGCAGAGTTGTACCTGTGGTTTTCCTCCACCCACCTCCAAGATGCAGAAATGGCA